GTGCTATAGTGGACAGTGGCTAGGGTTGCTAGATGTCCAGTTTTCAACCAGAACACCCGGTTGAAAAGAGACCCTGGCGGCTCTGATCAGCACTGCTGACTGGGCTATTAAAAGTCCAGTCAACAGGGCTAAGGCAGACTCCCTGCCTGCCCTGGCTCTGTGCAGCTCCTGGAAGCCGCTGGCATGTCCCTGCAGCCCCTAGGCAGAGGGGTGATCAGGGAAGCTGTGGACGCGGACAGTGCACAGAGCCCCCTAGGGGTCAGACATGGCGGCTGCTTCTGGGAGCCACACAGAGCGAGGGCATACAGGGAACCTGCCTTAGCCCCACTGTGCCGCCTCCTAAAAGCATCCTAAGGTAAGCGCTTCTGGGCCGGAACCTGTACCCCCACCCAATCCCCTGCCCCACATTGAAACCCCCTCCCTCACCCTAACTCCCTCCCAGAGTCTGCACCCCAATCCCCCAGCCTGCACTCCCTCCTGCATCCCAACCCCCTGCCTCAGCCCTGAGCCCCCTCCACCACTCCAAATCCTTCATTCCTGGCCCTGTTGGCATCACTAGGCATAGCTACCAGGTAACTCGGGGGGGTGGAAGGCCATAAGTGCCGATGAAACCCCCCTGCTCTGGGTCTAAGTGAGCCACAGTAACTCCATCTTGTGAACTTTAACCAGCCTCCATGCTAACAGCCTAAATGCTGAAGCAGAATATGAATAACGGTCAGCTTTTTTTAGCAGACAGCTGCAGTTTCGCTCACACTAGCAGAAGCAATAGTGATAGGGGGGGGAAAGGGGAGAGAGAAGCCTACTACGTCTTAGCTTGCAAGGCCAAAGATAAACATGCGGACGAGAACTTTTCTAACATGCCACAATGTAATGCCTGCTGTAACTGCTGTCGGGAAGGGAGGGGTAAAGGGGGAAACAGAACAAAGGCTTGCACACAAACAGCTTGGAATATAAAATGGGAAACTTGCTTGTATTTGCTGCGCTTTTGATTTGAGACATGCTGGTCTCCTGAGTGCCTTTTCGAGATCTCGAATAAATTTGGTTTGCTTCTCCACCCTGATGTGTCTATTGGTGCGATGCACACCGGGCAACGAACCCTGTTGCCCCCCTCAGGCCCTCTGGGCCGGTAACAGTTTTGGCGCCCAACGTGGGGCTCGAGGTTGAAATTTAGCCTTGCCCGGATCCCTCCTGGTGGCCGACGGATTATGGTGACGACTGACGCCCAGCGCGCACCGGTGACTTCATCGGGGGCCTCAGCGGAGACGTGGTGTGATCGACCCCGGAGGGCACAATGGTGCAACGCGCTCGGACAGTGGAGAAGCAGTTGTGGGCGACGGTGAGGAACCGGACCCTTGGATAAGGTAGAAACAGTCCAGTGGGGACTTTACCTGTTTTGACCTGGGGACGCCCAGTGTCTCCCTAGAGTATGGGGCAGGGTCAGAGTACAGCCGGCGGGGCACAGTGTACGCCCTTAGAATGCATTCTAGCAAATTGGGATGTGTTTGGGTCAGATTCGATGCTTAGGAGTAAATTAAAAAGGTTCTGTACAGTTGACTGGCCTCAATATCAGCTAGAGTGCCAGGAAAGGTGGCCACCGGAAGGATCACTTAATTACAACACAATCCTTCAGTTACTTTTGTTTTGTCAGCGAACTGGTAAATGGAATGAACATCTCTATGCGTATACGTTTATGATGTTAAGAAATAGGCCTGATATTTTGCACAAGTGCCATTTGACTCCGACAAACTCGGTAGTACCTGCTGCTAATCCCCAGAATCCTCCCATAGTTGTAATGGCAGAATTGGTATCCCCTTCGGCTCCAACACCCCCACAGGCTCCAGAGAGTGCCCCCTCGGTGGGATTGTATCCGTTGATTACTGAGAATGTGGTAGCCCGTCCAGGAACACAGGATCGTGCAGCCCAGATTGTGCCAGTGTATTCTCATGTTCCCTTTAACCCAGTGCACCTAGCTGCCTTTAAGGCAGAAGCAGGGGAATTCTCAACGAATCCAATCAAGTTTATTTCAATCTTTGAAGGGTGTCTAGCTAGCCATAAGCCTGACTGGGTTGATTGCAATATACTTATGAGAACCTTGTTGTCTGAGGTGGAGCGGAATCAGGTTATAGCTAAGGCTAAGGAGGAGGCACAGAGAAGGCATTTAAGGTTTAAAAAGGAAAGCTATTGGACGCCAGAGGTTGTACCGAGTGGAATCCTCAAAAGTGGGTGTGCTTGTCCTGGTTTGTTGCTTCAAAGCTCTGTATAGAAGTTATTTTACTGAAAGGGTGTATAATGGCAATGTGTATGTGTTCATTGTTGGGAAAAGGTGTATGAGTGAAGAGTGGAAGGTTCCTTTGTAGGTTAAAAGAAGCCAAGAAAGGGAGAAGGAAAAAGAACAGAACGAGTTAACTGGAAAATAGCAAGCTCAGTCATGCTGGCCCCATCCAAGGAAATTGTTCACATCTAAGACTTGGCTGAAAACCAAGAAAAGGGGGGCAGTATACCCATTTCTCGGTCCTAGATTTAAAAGACGATTTTTTCACGATTCCAGTCGACACCCAATCTCAGGAGATATTCTCCTTCGAGTGGGAGGACAACAGAAGGGTTAAAAAGCAGCTTTGCTGGACGGTATTGGCTCAGGGATTTAAAAATTCCCTCACTCTGTTCGGCCAGGCTCTGGCCAGAGACTTGGAGGAGTGGAATAATTCAGACAGAGTCCTCCTCCTGCAATACGTAGATGACTTGCTAATTGCTGCTGTGGGTCTAATCCCTTGTCTCAAAGCCACTGTGAGCCTCCTGAACTTTGTTGGACTCCGAGGATATCGGATAGCTCGGAGCAAGGTTCAAATTGCTCTCTCAGAAGTACAGTATCTGGGATTTCACATAAGGCAGGGAGAGAGGCAGCTCTCAAATGAAAGAAAGGAGGCTATCTGCCAAGTTCCTATCCCAAGCAACCGTAAACGGCTCAGGGCATTTTTGGGCATGGCAGGCTTTTGCATAATATGGATCCCGGAGTATGGACTGTGGGCTAAACCTCTGTATGAATGTGTTAAGGGAGCAGATCATGACCCCTTTCACTGGTCCTCAGAAGCGGACAGGGCATTTAAAATCTTGAAAAGGAAGTTGATGGAAGCCCCAGCCCTGGGTCTGCCGGATCTCTCTAAGCCGTTCCAGCTGTATGTGCATGAAAGAAAAGGGGTGGCCCTGGGAGTGCTTACTCAGTTATTAGGCACCTGGAAACATCCTGTGGCATATTTCTCTAAACAACTGGATCAAGTTGCAAAGGGGTGGCCAGCATGCTTGCGGATGGTCGCAGCCACTGCCCTAGTGCTTGTGGAAGCTGAAAAACTGACACTGGGAGGAACTGTGCAAGTGTATATTCCCCATATGGTCCAAGCCCTGCTGAACAGTAAGGGTGGTCTCTGGCTTACCCAGGCTGGGGTTGCTCGGTACCAGGCGAAACTGTTAGAGAACCCTGAAGTTACCCTGCAAACCTGTCCCTCTCTTAATCCAGCTATCCTGCTACCAGAAACAGAAAAGCAGGAACATGACTGTCTGGAAATCATAGATGCCCAATACTCCAGCCGCCCAGATTTAAAAGATCAACTACTCCCAAATGCTGACTTGGAATGGTATACCGATGGCAGTAGTGCCATTGTGGATGGGCAAAGGAGGGCGGGTTATGCTATTGTGACCCTTCATGATACCGTGGAATCTGAGAGTTTACCTGCTGGGACATCTGCCCAGCTTGCTGAACTAGTGGCCCTGACTCGTGCACTCGAGCTGGCAAAAGACAAACGGGTCAATATCTTTACTGATTCAAAGTATGCTTTTGGGGTATTGCATGCTCACGCTGATCTGTGGAAGCAAAGAGGGATGCTAACAGCCCAAGGCTCCCCGGTTAAGCATGGGTCTCAAATTCTCCAGCTGTTAGAAGCGGTACAACTCCCCTCAGCAATAGCAGTGGTGCATTGCAGAGCCCATCAAAAGGAAGATCAAGATGTAACTAAGGACAATGCCAGAGCAGACAGGGAAGCCAAGCGTGCTGCTACCCTGAAATCACCAACAGAGGCGAATGCCCAAATGCATGCCCTCATCCCATCAGTAGGTGAGTTTGCAGCTCCTCAGTACTCCCATGATGACAGAAACCTGGCTGACAGGCTCGGTCTCCAGGAAAAGGAGGGATGGCTTTATTCCACAGAGGGAAAAATCCTCCTGCCCAAGGGCCTGATCCGACCAGTGTTGCAGAAACTGCATCAAACCACCCACGCAGGCAGAGAGGCTCTTACCCAGCTTATGAATAAATATTTTCTAACCTCTGGACTTAAACCCCTAGCATCACAGGTACAGGCTGAATGTTTAATCTGCCAAAAGAACAACCCTCGACCAGGAGTAGCAGTGCTGCCAGCCACCCTGGAACCTACCCCAGGCCCAGGATTGGTGTGGCAAATAGACTTTACTGAGTTTCCCCGGACCCAAGGGTACAGGTACCACCTCGTCTTGGTGGATCAATTCAGCGGATGGCTCGAAGCCTTCCCATGTCATAACAACACTGCCAAAATGGTGGATCTTAAGTTTGTCAAGGAGATTATTCCTCGCTTCGGACTCCCCCAGTGGATGGAATCTGACAACGGAACACACTTCACATCTCAAGTTGTTCAAAAGATATCAAGTGCCTTGCAAATCCCCTGGAAGCTCCACACACCACGGCGACCACAAGCCAGTGGAGTAGTGGAACGCACAAATCAGACACTCAAGCGACACCTCTCAAAGGTCTGTCAGGAGGCCTCTCTTAGGTGGCCTGATGCTTTGCCCCTTGTGTTACTCTGCATTCGTGCTCTCCCCAAGGGCAGGTTAGGGCTTAGTCCCTTTGAAATTATGTTTGGAAGAGCATGGCCTCTGAACGGTACACCGGTTCCGGCAGGAGAGTGGGAAATGGGGTGTGGTTTCTTGTCTCAGTACATGTGCTCTCCGTCTGCTGTTCTTTCTTCTCTTCACAGATACACCAAAGATTCACAGCCTCTTCTGCTGGATGCCCCTGTCCACTCCTTACAGCCTGGTGACTCCGTTCTCGTTCGGACCTGGAAGGACGAGCCTCTCCAAGAGAAGTGGAAGGGACCCCACACTATCTTGCTGGTCTCCCACACGGCAGCAAAGGTCGAAAGGCACAAGAACTGGATTCATCACTCTCGACTGAAAGCAATACCCACTCCTGAACAGTGGACTGTCCAGCCTGCAGAGAAGACTGCCAGCGACGATTTGGGACTTAAGCTGTTATTCAAAAGACAGTAGGGATAGCTGGGAATGCCTGGTGATCTCTCTGAACAGCCACAGCGCACTCCCCGCGAAAACCCTGAGCATTGGTTCTATCTATTCACAGAAGGCCGACCTAGCCTATAGTCCTGGTCCTTTTATTTTTTTGATTTGTTTGGTGTCAATAATTTTTATCTTCTGGGCATTTGGGTTGTTGTAATCACAATATGGGTTCAGGTTTAGGGTCTCTCACAACATTCCTTCTTGTCACAGAAGCAATCCTTCTGTTACCTACTGTTTCACCCACATCGCATGCAGGATGGGGAGCCATCCCTGCAGATATGGCTACCAATACCTATGAGGCCCTGAAAATAGCCTTTGCCCGTGAGTTCAATCTCTCCCACTGTTGGATATGTGCCCAGACTTCCCACCATTCGGCTGGATTGCCCTGGAGAGTAGTTCCCCAAAATTGGTCAGACTTTTGTCAAAGGTGGATGGTTACCAGCAGCAGCACCTCTGACAATTTAAGTTTGTGATCTAACTGTACTGCGGAAGCTCCTTATGGCCTACCCAATGGCTCTTGGAATTCCCACTATAGTAGCACTCTTAAGCCCCAGCCCATTCGTCTACCTCTCCACCCACTGGTCTCATATGTTTTCAGCAAGCCAGTACAAGTAATCATACCTGATTTGCCGGCATTAGTACATGTAGATTTTATATTGGTCCTGGTATGAATCTCACTGTTCCTGTACTAAATGCCACTGGTTGGCAAACCGGCACTGCATTTTTTGCCCTTTCCCCACAAGCCACCCTACGGGACCTACAAGGTAACAATTGAAAGGCTAGTTATGGTGAAGCATTCTGGGTCTGTGGTAATAGTGCCTATAAATGGCTTCCTCATGGTTGGCATGGTAGCTGTTACAAAGGCTATCTCGCTCCTCCCCTCCGTGTTCTCACCCAGGCTCCCTCAGGTCACCCCAGGTACTATCGGTCCTTGAGAGCTACCATTGAACCCATCGGAGAGGAAGACAGGTTTGGGATGATATTCCTCCCTACTTATGGGGTGGGACGGCTAACCCAACTCTACAGGAGACTTTCTAAATTTCTCACCCAGTTTGCCAATAATACCCTGGCCATAGAAAAAGGCATAAGCTCCGAGCTGTACCAGCTTTGATTGCTGGCTCTGCAAAACCGCCAGGCCCTAGATTATGTGTTAGCCTCACGGGGCGGGGTCTGCGCCCTTATTGGAGAAGAATGTTGTACCTATGTCCCAGAGTTTTCACAGAATATTAACAAGCACATCTTGTCAGCCGAATTGGCCTTGAACCAGTGGAAGGCCCAGGAAGGGGAACCCACTATTTTTGATTCCCTTTGGGGTTGGTTACCTAGTCTAGGAGGACTAGGGGAAGGCATTATTCGCCTCTTGCTCACAGGTGTTGTGATATGTTTTGTTCTTTTTCTTTTGCTCGCTTGCTGTAAAGTGCTCATACATAAGATTTGTACCTCACATTCCCCAGAAGTTCCTTTATACCCTCTCACTGATGATCCCAATTGCATGGAGCTTAATCACATTTTATCTTTAGAGTATGAGAAAACTCTGCCAAAGGTTTGTTGAGTGTTCTCAAAGGAGGGAATTGTTGGTGTCACTAGGCATAGCTACCAGGTAACTGTGCGTCCTCATTCCCTCCAGTCCCGCGGCCCGTGCGCGTTCCCTGCCCAGGCGGTATCGCCCATGCGCCCAGCCCTAGCCCGGTCAGCACGCGCCCGCTCCCTCCACTGGCTGCCACCATGATCTGCTTGGTGCTTACTGTGTTCGCCAACATCTTCCAGAGCAGTGAGTGCCCCGTCCCAGGGTGGGGAGCTGTCTGGGGGATGCCCCCTCCTGGGGCAGGAGGAGGAGAAGGGTGGCAGTTCAGGGGTTGTCCCCCAGCAGGCAAGGGGAATGGGGGGTCAGGGGATATCCTTCACCAGCAAGGGGAGGAGGATTGTCGAGCAGATGCCCCCTCAGGCAGGGAGAGGACACAGACGGGGGGCACTAATACCTCCCTTCCTCACCCTTTGCCTCCCCTGACTCAGCTCCTTCCACTTTCACAGCTCTTCCCCCATTTACTCCCACGGAGCGGAAGTGGGGGAGGGCTTGGCACAGAGGTGGCTGTTTGGGGCAAGGTGCCTGCTCTGCTGATGAGACACTGAGAGCACTACTGAGAGCAGAGTGGTACCCGACCCTGCTTTGTGGCAGTGAATTTCACTGCAGCTGGTTCACTCTGAATAAAGCTTGTAATCAGGCTCAGGGAGGGAACAAAGAGGCCCCATAGGAGTTTATTTTACAAGTGGGGAAACTGAGGTACGGAGAAGGGAAGGGAGTCTCCCAAGGTCTCATAGTCATCCCTTAGCAAGGCAGGAAATAGAATCTGTCCCTCTTGACTCCTTTCTCTAATTCTGAGCCCACACAGTGCCTGCCTCTGTGATCTATGACAGGGGTGGCCAAACTTACTGATCCTCCTAGCTGCATACAACAATCTTCAGAAGTACAAGAGCCTGACGGGGCTCTGGGCTTTAGCTCCATGGGAGGCACCTGTTGTGGCTCAGGGCTTTAGCCCTGCTCCTGCTGAAGCCATGAGGCCTGGCCAGTGTGCCTGGTGGGGCTGAAGCCCTGAGACTTCCCTCCCCACCCCATTGGGCAGAAGCCCCTATCCCACCATCCCACTGCAAGGCAGAGGTCCTGAGCTCTTCCCCCCACCCCCAATCTGGTAGGTGGAAAAGGGGGGGGAAATGTAGGGCGCTCCGTGAGCTGCACTTTTAACGGTAAAAGACCTGCATGTGGCTCACGAGCCACACTTTTGCCACCCCTGATCCATGCTCTGGAGACTGTCCGGTTTGGCCAATGTACATGGCAGAGGGGCATTGCTGGCACATGATGGCATATATCACATTGGTAGATGTGCAGGTGAACGAGCCCCTGATTATCGGGGATACTGTTCCTGATAGCTTGTAGTCCATCTTTGTGTGGAATATTGGTGTAGAGGGCTTCTACATCCATAGTGGCCAGGATGGTGTTTTCTGGAAGATCACCGATGGATTGTAGTTTCCTCAAAGATGGACTACAAGCTATCAGGAACAGTATCCCCGATAATGTCACAGCTAATCTGGTGGCTGAACTTTGTGACTTTGTCCTCACCCACAACTATTTCACATTTGGGGACAATATATACCTTCAAGTCAGT